ATATTTTTAAATATATAAATTATATTTTAAATTTATGATAAATAATTTATACTATAGTACATGATTATTTTTTATTTAAAAATTATTTTTATATTAAAATTTAATTAGATATGAAGTTAAATGAATCTTTAAAAATTTTCTCATTGAAAAAAAAACCCATAAAAATACATTTGTACAATACAGTTGTTTGTATATAAGAGTTGTTTATATAATTAAAATTTATAATAAATTATATATAAAACATATTATATTTTAATATATATAAATTATACTTAAAATAAGTACATAAATATTTTTAAATATATAAATTATATTTTAAATTTATGATAATTTTTTTTAATATTTTTAATTTTTTTAAAATATTAATATTTAATTAATAAATGATTATGATAAATAAAATTAAACTAAATAAGAGATTAAAAAAATATCTACAAACTCGTTGAAAAAAACTTCTAATTAAAAATGTAACACGATGCTATGTAAACTGTCTAGAGTTTAGTTACTCATATGGAGAAAGGTATATAAGGTTTCTTTAGAGAAAAAAGCCTCATAAGTTCTTTCTTATGTCATTTCTTGAAATTCAGGCTAGAAAGTTGAGATTTTTGGAGACTGAAGTTGTCAGGCTGACCTCTTGGAGTTTCTTCTCCTTCTTCCTCTTCTTGGTTGTTTTGAGCCACTTTTCAGGTGAAGGAAGCTAGGATGTATAGTTTTGTTGTAAGTTTAGAAACTCAGTAAATGCTTGATTGGTGGATTGATTCGTTGATTTGAGGGATTTTTCCCATTTTTAGGGTTTCGGGCTAAAATGAGGTTTTTAGTGATTTCGATACATTGGGAGAATGTATGTTGGATCTGAGTTTGTTTCTGGACTATATGTTATCTATATGTTGTATGGTATGGATTGCATGTGGTGGATTTTTCTTGATTTTTAGGTTTTGGGCAAAATTTTATGAGCTAGGATTGCTGCTGTATGAATTTGTCCCGGGCGCGTGTTCAAGGCATCGGGCGTGCATTCATCAGAGACAACCATTTTGTAAGCACACCGGGTGTGAGACTAGTCACGCCGGACATGGTTTAAGATGGAAGTCTCTGGATGAATCACGCCAAGCGTGAGGTGAGCCACGTCGAGCTCGATATCAGATAATGGTTAGATGGGAGAACTTACTGATATGGCGTCAGGCGCATGGCTGGGTGCGCCGGGTGTGATTTCCCTTGTAGGTCTTTGACCTTGGGGCACCAGACATGATTTCCCCTAGTAGGTCTCTGACCTTGGGGTGTCAGGTGTGATGTAGGTCACGTCGGATGAATTTATGAGGGATTAGTCTCTGCCAGACTGACGTCGAGCGTGTAATTGGCTCTTTCGAGCGTGGAGATCCCTGGAAGTCTCTAACTTCATGACGTCGGACGCAAGGGTGAGTGCGTCGGGCGTGAGAGCCTCTGTGAGTCTGTATTTTTTATTGGGTTGGGTGCGAGCAGGGTTACGCCGAGCGTGAGTCACACTATTTGATGTGGCTGGGTTGAAATGTTTAGAATGTGGATGATATATTTATGTATGTTGAATATTGGTTCATGTATATGCTTAGATAAGTATATATGAATGTGTGATACATGATTGATATGTATGAATGTTTTAAAACATGAATTGAGATGTATGTATGTTCCTATGTTGATGATATTGACATGATGGTGGATTGACCATGAATGATTTATGATGCATTGTTTGCATGTGGTGCTTTCATGGCATGTGTAGTCTAGCATAGAAATGAGGGGGAAAATATTTTCGAACTTAAAGAGCTCACATAAAGTCTCTTGAGTGATGCTTGGATAGACCACTGAGATGCATGAGAGTAGTGCTTAGAGAGGCCATCGATATGCATGAGAGTGGTGCTTAGATAGGCCACTGATTTTGGGTGAGAGTGGTGCTTGAATAGGCCACTGGGTTGGATGAGTCTCCTCTAAGTTTTTAGCTAGTTTTGGAACGAGATATGAGGTTGAGGATTATTCCCTTAACCAAGTACTAGGGAAGGTGTGTGATTTCTTATGAATAGTCGATGGACGAACTCCATAAGTGACTTGGTAATGCATGCCAAGGTCGTGGTAAGCATGTACCCAACTGTATTATACCTAACGGTGGAACCAAACTTCCAATTGTGTAACGGACACTATCTGAGTAAACACTTAGGGGATTTGATATCCCGGTTTGCTGTTGACCCAGTAGGGTGCTTCGGCGTAAAAGCGATCAGGGTGATTTCGATAGAATGAGATGTCATTTATACTGCTTTATTGTTAAGGAGATCTCTTAAGTGAATGCGTGGCGATGCATCAAATGATTGATATGTATTTATATCTTTCATGAGTTGCATTTTATTGCATGATTGTTGTATGATAGAGTGTATATATTTTTTTTGAATTTATGAAAATGATTGATGATTTTGATGATGGTATAGCATAAGTGCTTATTCTGATGCTTGTATGGTTATTTATAGAACTCTAGCTTACCCTTTTATTTCCATGTAGATGGACTGCGATGATCAACCTATGTATGGGAGTAGGTCAAGGTTAAGATGGAGCGAGCTGCTATTGGATGCTGGAGTTTTTGTCCTAGTGTCAGAGTTACCATTTCGAGTAACTGATAGAATGTACTTGACATACACTAAGAAATATTATTCCTTTTGGATGACTGTATATACATCATATTTATATTTATTCATATAAACATGATTTTTATTTTTATTATTCATATGCATGTTTATATTGTTATACATTAAATAATCTCTCTCTTAGTTAAACAATCTGGTAGGGTGATTTCATATAGTGTAGAGACCATGACGAGTCGTTACAAAAACACTTTTTTTCATAGAAGTTCGTGTTAATATATAAAATTGATAAATTTACTTAAAATTTTGATTATAAATTATTTTAATGCTTTTAACTAACTTGTGAATTAGTCCAAACAAACATTTTTGAATTATTCGGTAAGTCATAGATATATATATATATATATGAAGTGTATAAGAATACCCTAAATGAAATATATATATATATATATATA